ATGTCTGGTACGTAAATACAGTTGTAAAATATTTTCCTCCTTCCAGAGGAGGAAGAGAGAGAGATGGCAAGATATAGTCATTCAGTTTAACAAATGTTAATTGAGTGCTAGGGATGGAGCTAGGTGCTGTAGATACAAAAATGAGTAAAAAAACCAGACCCTTTCTCTAGAATGGGTAAGAAAGACACATAAACAGATAATGTCAATATAATATGGAAAAGACTAGGACAATAGTATTCACAGGGTACTATGAGAAATAGAGAATAAGGACACTCAGACCAAATTAGACATTCAAGACAGGCTTCCAGGAAATGACATATTACTAAATGCAAAAATGTGCAAATGATTGTTACTATGTCATTAAAATAAGTCCAATATCAAGTTTCCTTCAGATTTCCTTCATTTAGTTGGTTGAGGAATTAGGAGAAGGCTTTTCAGAGGATATTAGTTTGGGAAGAAAGTAAAACACCAAGAATCCAAAAAACAACTACTATATCATGACCTGTGAGGAATACCAAAGAGAAAAAACATGATCTGTACCCTCAAGGAGGCAGGAATATAGACGGTGAGAAATTAAACATGCATTAGGAAACCTTACTATACAATATTAAATCAAAATATAGAGTTTAGGGATGAGAAGAGTGGTGTGGATGGAAATCTTTGAGTAAGTGCTGTGACTTAAACCAAGGTTTTTAATATAAACTTAATCCAGGGGCTGGCCAGTTACCTCAGTTGGTTAGAGTGCAGCCTTATAATACCGAGGTTATGTGTTAGTATCCCTGTACCGGCCAGTCGTCAAAAAAAATTTTTTTTTAACCCAGATTAAAAAAGGAAGCCAATCAAGTAAAGAATATTAAAAGATGAATCTTAAGTGACCAAGGACTCTTTGTCTTTAAAAAGTTATGTCTTAATTCTGTTCACTTTTGGATTGATTGATACAGTCTGGGGAAGGTTAAGATCTTTTATCTAAACCTCAAGAAGGTGTATTTATTTGAATGTGCATGTGCTTTATATGTATGTTTATGTATTATTAGTGTCAGAGCAAGAAGATTTGATCTGAGAATTTACAATCTGATTCTGAGCTATTACATTGGAATAATGCACAACATCAGGCTGTAAAAGAAAAGATCCACTCTGGCAGCTACCTGATTCGTGGGGAAAAATAAAAAGTAAAACCCATAAAAATGAAAATTGTGAAAGATACATAAGAAAACTCAACCAACCCTATAAGACAAAGAAAAAATATTTTCCAGATGTCATTCAAAGATCAATGGCACACCATTTTTAATTCTATGTATGCATAATAACAACAACAGCACCAGCTAACACTTATTGGCATCTACTACATAGAAAGCTTTTTTCCTAAATTACTCTTTCCTAAACTCCAGTTTTTCAACCTTCACTGGTGAGAATTTAGGTCAGAGGTTATTAAAACAATGCATGAAGGTATACTGTGAATACAGGTTGAAATATAATTTTTTTTATAAATTCAGAAAAATTACTTACATACTTTATCGACCTAAGTGAAATGATGTACGATAATATGTTGGCATAGAACCATAAACATAAACGTCAAATCAATCCATGAGGCTACGAGGTAGAGTTGTAAATAGGAACATGCTCTAGAAATGGCATGTTTATCAACCTAAGATTAGTTTCTGAATAATTCCCATGGGATTGACGAATGCATCTTTTTCATAATACATGCATAGAGAACAGCATAAAACATAACTGATAATAAATGATCAGGTCATATATAGCAATAAAAGTGGCCAACAGCACAAAAAAGCATTTTGAAATAACTTCTGTCCCAACTAAATACTAGAAAAATATTATTCTCCAGGTAGAGTTAGTTTTTCTTCCAAGTTTTTCTTTCAAGCACTCCATATAGCTGTACCCAGTATTTATATTACATTATAATTATTAGTTCATATGTAGTCTTCCCTCCAGACTACAAGTTCTTGAAGACAAGCTCCGAATTTATTCCCTCTGGGACTTAAAAGCCATCTTACATCTAGCAGAATGACAATTTAATGAATAAATAATAAATGAATGATTTGATATGTAAATTTTAATAAAATCTAAGGCACTATAAAGCACTATAGAAAATTAAAAATCTCAAGTTGCAAGAGTTTTACTATTTTAAGAACACTCTTAATTTCCCTTATCTGGCATTTTAAAAACATTTTTTAGTTGACACATATTAATTGTACATATTTATGGGGTATAGAGTTATATTTCAATAAATGTATACAATGTGTAATGATCAAATCTGGGTAACTGGCATATTCATCATTGCAAAAATTTATCATTTCTTTGTGATGAGAACATTTGAGCCCCTCTCTTCTAGCCATTTGAGAACATACGATAAGTAGATGCGTAGCACTACAGTAGACCACTTGAACTTATTTTTCTGATCTAGCTGTAATTTTGTATCTCCTATCCAACCTCTCCCTATCCTCTCCATCCTCCTCCCTTTTCTAGCCTCTAGTAACCACAATTCTATTCTATACTGTCATACTCTCAGCTTTTTTTTTTTTTTTTCCTTTTTGTCTTTTTTCGTGTCCGGCAACGGATTCACAACCCTCAGTGTTGCACCCGCACCGGACCGGACCGGCAACGGGATTGCAACCCTCGGTGTCGCGCCCGCACCTCGCTCAGCCAGTGAGCGGGAACCGGTCTGTATGTGGGATCCGAACCCTCGGCGGGAGCGCCGCCGCACTCCCAAGCGGCACACTGTAGCAGTGCGCCACCGGGCCGGCCCACTCTCAGCTTTTTTTTAAAAAAATTTTTTTAGCTCCCACAAAGGAATGAGAACATGCACCTTACCTGGAATTTCAGGCCTTTCTATACCAGCTCTAATCTACCTTCTTAATCTTATTTTTGTGTATTCTTTCCTCTTAGTTCCTGTATATGAATTACTTTTTCTAGCACAGTTCTATGCTTTCTCACCTCTGTGTTTTAATTAAGTAATCTCCAAAAGTTTAAGATGATACACCTCTCTCAGTTTAAAGTATGTGAGCATACTTAACACTGTGCTATATATTATGTTTAGTACTAAGCAATCATAAAAATAGAAAACAGACATCTTAAATGAGGTTAAAAAACATAAAAAGAAGTGTTAATCTTTTTTACGTGCCCACAATGCATTGATTCACTGATTTACAAAAGAACAAATGTCATAGTGTTTTGTGAGAATTAAGTGAATTAACACATGTAATGCACTTAGAATAGTGCTGCCCATACAGGAAACACTATACATGCCAGTTAATTTCATTACCATCATTATCATCAATGCAGTTTCTTTTGACTGAAATAATGTCCCATACCTACCCTCTACCCTCATTACTATATGTCAAACCCCTGAAGGCCAAAATCAAATGCTATCTCTTCAAAGAATTATTTGAATCCATCTCTTAAGGGATTAGGACTTCTCACTGTAGGAGGTATCAAATCTACAGAGTTTACCAAGAAGTCATGCCCAAGAAGCCAAGATAAAGCTAGAATAGTTAGAAAAATTAAGGATGGGTTTATGGAAAATGAGGTAAGTGAAAAAAGATGCAATTATTAACCTCAAGAAAAATAAAATACAGAAAAAGGAAATACAGTTATAGTAAATTATCTGGCTCTACACTACATGGGAAAGATGGGACATTATAACAAGCCCCCAAGTCCTCAACTTTATTAGCAAAAGGCTGAAGAAGATTAATCATAAATTATAAATTTAGATATATTACTTTAAAACTTATAGATAAATACTAGAAGAAACAGCTAAAATATTTCAAAGTGATTATCTGAGGGATGGGATTGGAAAGGTAGAACCTTTTATTTAGTACCATTCAATTTCAAAATTTTGTACAAGTATTATATTGATCGCACATTTTGAAAGTAAAAGCAATTTTCTTAAGTTTTAAAGTTAAAGCTTTCACATAAAGATGGCAAGTTGAATACAGTCATATCTTGCTTAACAATGGGATATATTCTGAGAAATGCGTTTGGCGATTTCCTATTTGTGCAAACATTACAGAGCGTACTTACACAAACCTAGGTTGCATAGCCTGCTACACACCTAGGCTATATGAAATAGCTGTTATAATCTATTATGGGACCACTGTCATATATTCGGTCTGTCACTGACTGAAAGGTTGTTATGCAGCACATGACTGTATATACATTTAACTCTATTCTCTCCAAAAACCTCTGTAAAGAAACAGAGAAAATATTTAGAAAGGCATGGAAATCTCCTAGGAAGAAGAGAAAAAAGATAACGAAAAAGAATGAGAAAATATAAATTTAATGCAAGAGTTCCAGGAGCCAAATAATAAGATTCCAAAACAAAAAAGAGAGAGATAATGACCAAAGAAAAAAATTCAATAAATTTCCCTAAAACTGAAGAACATGAGTTTTTAGATTGACAGGGTCAAACAAAACAGACAAAATACACCCATACGAGGGTACACCAACATGAAATTTAAGAACTCCCAGGGCACATCAACATGAAATTTAAGAATAAATAAAAAGAGAAGATTGTGCGAGCTTCCAGTGAGATAAAAGAAGTTATGTATGATGGTATCAGAAACAGGAATGGTGCCTGACTGTTTTCAATGGTAACAGGAGGAGCTCAAAGGCAATGAAGCAATGCCTTCAAAATTCTAAAAGAAACAGAATTCTACATCCACTCAACCTAGCAACTGAGAGGGTGGAATAAAGCATTTTAAAAAATGCAGTCTTGAAAAATTTACTCCCATGCCTTCTTTCTCAGGAACCTATTGGAAGATGTGTTCATACAAAACAAGAGAACCAAAAAAGGGATAAAATCCAGGAAACAGAAAATACAAAGGTTTTAAGTGGTCCTGAGCTCACTGGCTTAAGAAGAGCAAGTCAATGTGAAAGCATTCAGTTGATTTTTGAAATGGCAAATATATCATGTGCTTTTGATTTACATATACTTCTACAGCAGTCTGAGCATAAAAGAGATTTCAAGAGGTTTTAACTCTTACCTGTAACACAGCAGCAAATAAGTATACTACTACGAAGATTATAGTTAAAGAAGTATGACCACTTTTCATCAAATGAATAGTATAGAGGAAAATTAAATGTCCAGGAATAACTAAAAGCAGTAGAACTTGGGCAGACTTATTATTTACTCCTGTAATATAAAATGCAAAAGTCATTAAAACAAAATCATATTTTGGTTAATAATAGGTCACAGTTATTAAAGTTTGAGGATTACTTTCTAGTTATTATACTTCATAGCATCACATAAAATTAAATTGCTGAAGAAGAATTGCAACTAGTTACAATTCACTTAATTCTTTGAAATTCCCAATATAATATTATATGTTAATTAAATGAAAGGTAGTTGATAAAAACTTGCTGTGAAGAACACTGGTCAGACTTCAATATCTATCATTAAAAACAGAGAGAAGACAAAATAGAAAACATAAAGTTCTTAAGGTACTGGAATGTTTTAATTTTACTTATTCCTTTAGGGTTCTATCACTGATATTACAAGGCTAGACATTTCTGATCTTCATCTGAAAGTCAATAATCACATTTATTTTCATTAGGAAAAAAAGTGACAAGAATTGTAAGATTCAAAATTATATTCTTAGTTTTTTTGGCAATCACATGCCTGGCTGAGATAAATAATGCACTATTCCTTGTAACTGAGGTCATTCCCTTTCATCCTGTTTGTTTGGGAGCAAATGCCTACATTTAGAAATGCCAAAAAAACTAATACAGAAAAGACAGCACATCTGTCTCCCTAAATCACTTCAATATTTTTTTTTTTGTGTATAAGGTTCCTCTTTCCTAACTAATAAGATATTCTAGAGAGAAGAATAAATCCTCACCAACTGCAAAATTAACACAAATGACTTTCTGTTCACTTGAGATTCGCTCTCAGAAATAGGAAAGTTGTATAGCACTCATAAACAAAATATATACTCAACAAATATTGCCTGCCTATAATCTAAGAGAGCAGTAGTTCCTTAAAATATGCAAAAATCTACAAGCCCATACCTGAACCAAAAAAAGTTTTAAATGGATAGTAACAACCTTTGGGTTCATCAGGCAATTCTCCTGGAATGCTATGTAAATGGAGGTAAGTAGAAATCCTGCTAGCCTGAATGGCCACCAAATTACCACCAATACCTGAAATATAAGAAAATAAAGTAGTTATCTTCATATTTTTAAACAACTTGCATAAATTCAACTAGAAGCGAGCCTCTCTATGGGCCAGTAAAAATATAAGCCATATTCTGAGCCAATAAAACAAAATAAGGCATTCTTCTGAAATATTGATTTATTTACTGCTGAGGTAGACATTCCAAAGGCATAAAATCATTGTTATGAAAGTTTCATTCATTATTTTTTCAAACCTATCTGATATAAGGCAGATCAAAGCAGATAATTTTTAAAAATTATTATCACAACCAAGATATCAAATTAGGTAACAAGATGTTTCATATTTATCATCTTAAACAAGAGGGAAAATAACCTATATTTATTCAAATAGACATAACTTGATACATATCAGCTTATCGGTATAAGCCACTGAAAAAGATACTAGAGAAAGTCACCTTTTTACCTAGATTATCTTCTCATATACTCAGAGGCAGAGGAGTTGATGCTGAGACATGAATTTCAAAAGGCGGTAAGCCCCTCTAAGGTGAGACAGAACACTCAAATTGTTTCTCCCTTCACAGAGTATAGGAGAAAGAGGTAGTAGCCATAAAGCAAGTAGGAAGAAAACAACTGAAAATTTCAAATTCTTAAATACTGAGTGTGGGCTAGCACAACCATTTAGAATACATGAGAGCCCTAGACACAAAGAAAGTCCACATTCATTTGCCATCTATTTTCACAAGCCTCCACTAGGTGCTCATGAGACAAACTGAGGCAGGGCAGGAGACTTGAGAGAGCCAACCTCAGCAGCATACAGGCAAGAAACCTCACCCATTTCTGAACCCCTCTCTCATATGAAGCAAATGCTGCTTGGAGAGGTAGAAGAAATACTCCAGCTACCTGGTCCCAGGCAAAGATTAGTTACCACTGGAGGAAAAATACAAGTAAAAGCTGTCTGCTTCTACAGAGTGGAACAAAAACTTCTGCTCAAGACCAATCTGGCAGAGTTTGGCTGCCAAAAGTGGGAGGGTAGAAACATTGAGAAAGCCCTGAGGACCAGGTACACAGAGCTCTGAGGACCAGGTATACAGAGACTGTCTAAGATTGAGAATAGAGCAAGAGAATCCCAAATCCCATCCTATGCCTTGCTCTTTGTAGGAGGCATCAACAAATTACCATTAGAAGAAGAGCAAGAGTACAGACAGTTAAGCCTTCCATGCTGCACACATACAGCACTCCCAGCTTCACCCTAAGCATAAGGTAGCAGGAGCCCGCCAATAAAAACAATTTTAAGTTCATGGTGCACTAAAGGTAACTATAATAACCACAAAAAATAAACCCAGTTCAACTACTGACTTGATTAACAACTCAATCCTCCATACTAATGACCTATCAGAAGAAAATGACTGCCAATTTCTAGGCATAATATTTATCTCAATCTCCAATGGCCTTTTATATACAATGTCCAGCATTTGATAAAGAATTACAAGACAGTAAAAAGCAATAAAGAAAACAGACTATTAAAAGAGTTAAGAAGTCAACAGAACCAGACCCAGTGATCAGTCAGCTGTTAAAAGCATCTGATGAGAACTTTAAAGTAACCAAGATTAATATGTTAAAGAATCCATGGAAAAGGTGTACAACATATATTAAAAGATGGGGGACTGGCCAGTTAGCTCAGCTCATTAGAGCACAGTGTTGTAACACCAAGGTCAAGGATTTGGATCCCCATAATGGCCAGCCACCAAAAATAAATAAATAAATAAAAAACAAAAGATGGGGACATAAGTTAAAAGTAAAAATATGGAAAAAGATATGCCATGTATGCAAACACTAATGAAAAGAAAGCTAGAGCAGCTTTCTTTCTAACATCAGGAAAGAAACCAGACATAGCAAGGAATATTACCAGAGATAAAGATGGACATTGAATAATACTTAAGAAAGTCAATTCATGAAAAACATATGACAATCCTAAATGTAGATGCACCTAAAAATAAATCTTCAAAATACATAAAGCAAAAAACAGTAAATCTAAAAGGAAAAATAGACAAATCTGTGTTTATTCTTAGAGACTTTACCTCTCTCTCTCTCATTAACTGATACAATACACGGATTTTAAAAATCGACCACTATGTAGAAGACTTTAATAATACTATCAGCCAATTTGATCTAAATGAGATTTATAGAACACAACCATCCAACAACAGCAGAATATACTTTACACATGCACACATGGAACATTAATGAAGACAGACTATATTATGGGCCATAAGACAAGTCTCAAATTCCAAATGATTGGAACATGCAAAGTATGCTGCTCTCTGGCTACGATAGAAAAGATAGATATCTGGGAATTCCCTCAAATATATGAAAAGTAAACAATACACTTCTAAGTAACCCACAGGTCAAAGAAAAAATTGGAAGGAAATTTGGAAAATATGTTGAATTTGATGCAAATGAAAACACAACATATTGAGGTAGGTGGGAAGCAAATAAAGCAGTACTTAGAAATTTACAGCATAAAATACTCAAATTAGAAAAAAAGGTCTCATATCAATGATATAAGATTCATACCAAAAAATAGAAAAAAAGAAAAAATTAAACTAAAAGAAAGCATAAAGATGGAATAAAATTATAAGAACACAAATTAATAAAATAGAAAACAGAAACAACAATGAAAAGAAATGAAACCAAAAGCTGATTCTTTGAATAAATCAAGGAAAAAAAAAGAGAAGATACAAATTCCAGTACCAAGAAAGAGAAGTCATCACTGCTGACTGTACAAGCATTAAAAGGATAATGTAGGAATATCATAAACTTAAAAAAGTACTAAACAATTAGCAAATCAAATCCAGCAAAATATTAAATGTATAACACATTACAACCAAATCGAACTTATCCTAAGAATGCAAAGCCAATTTAATATTTGGAAATAAATTAATGCAATTCACATATTAACAAACGAATAGAGGAAAAAATAATGATTGTATGAATAAATGCAGAAAAATTTATAAAATTCAACATTTAGCAAACTAGGAATCAAGGAGGACTTCTTTAACCTGATACACACACATACACACACACACACAATCTGCCCTCCATATCCATGGGTTCTGCATTCACAGATTGAACCAATCACGGATAGAAAATATTTGGGAGAAAAGTTCCAGAAAATTTTTTCTTGTCATTATTCCCTAAACAATAAATACAGTATAACGACTACTTACATAGCATTTACATTATATTAGGTATTATAAGTAATCCAGAGATGATTTAAATCATACAGGAGGTTGTGCACAGGTTATATGTAAATACTACAGCATTTAATGTAAGAAACTCACGCATCCATGGATTTTGGCATAGACGGTGGTATACTGGAACCAATCCCCCACAGATACCAAGAGATGAACTTTATGTATGAAATCTGAGATATAATAAAGGAGGTACTGCAGATCAATAAATAGTGCTATAGACTTTTCTAAGTAGTGCAAAAATAATTGGTTATTAATATGCAAAAAAACATGAAATTTGATCCCTACCTACACACCATGTCCAGGTGAATTAAAGACATAATATGAAAGGCAAAATTACTAAGTTTTAGTAGATAATATAGAATGAATGGGAAGAATTTTTTTACAAAATAGAAAAACAGAACTATGAAGGAAAAGAATGATAAATTTGACTGCAGTGTAATTAAAAACTTCTGCTCTTCAAGAGATGCTGTAGAGAAAGTGAAAAGACAAGCCACAGAGTGGGAGAAGATCTTCACAACACCTGTCAAAGGACTACTATCCAGAATATATATGAAGAACCCCTACAAACTGACAGAAAAAGGAACAAAAGACTTGTATAGATAGTTCACAAAAGAGGTTATTCCAAATTGTCAGCAAACATATGAAAAGGTGCTCAACCTCATTCTGTGTGTAAGCACAGAAATGCAAATAAGAGCACAATAAATGTCATTTTACACCCATCAGATTGGGCAAAACTTTTAGCCTGAAAACATCAACTGTTTGTAATGACATGGAGCAACAAGAACTCTTACACAAAGCTAGCAAGCATGTAAACTGTTATCCCTTTGGAAAACACTTTGGCATTGTGTAATAGAGTTTTTGGTGTGCATACCCTACAACCTGGCAATTCTACTCTTAAATAAATACTCAAAGAAATGCCACATATGTGCACCAGGTGGAATAATGAGATCTGAAAGAAGTATGAAATCAAAAGAATGGAACGTCTTTTTAAAAATTCATGTAGTACTCCATTTGAATCACAGTGAATATACTGGAAAGGGATATTTTTGAACAAGAAGAGTTAGAGGACAATTTTAACTCTTTAAAATTGTCTGAACCAGGTGCTAGGAGTCAAAAGCTTTGGTGACATCAGAGAGAATCAGAAGGCAGCAATCCTCTGACCAGGATTATTACCCTTTGCTGATACAAGTTACCTGGAAGCAAGATAGATTTACCTTAAAAACTGAGGTGAGACTACCTTGTCTTTTTAGTAATGGATTGTTATGTGGTGATAGGCTGTTGCTGGATGACAAGTTCTTTGCTTGATAACCTAGGATGTGATTTTTAGGACCCAGCAAAAGGGAATTTACTATGGAGAAATCCAGCCCTAGCAGCCTCCAAATCTGAGCAGTTTATATGGGATACACATAAGTATTATGCTCAGAAATATAGATTGAGTGATTTTATTCAAAGTCAGTCTATATCACCTATATATATTACCTATACATTGCCTGATACCTAGTGACGTTTTGGCATTCATGGCATCCTAATAATGCTAATTTGTTATTGTGAAAATAAGAATTTAATATTTTTTAGTCACAGAAAAAAATACAAGAAATAGAAAAAGCATGAACTCCCCCCTTTCTAAACTGAGAGAGTAATCTCTTTTTGTGCCAATGCATCAAAAATAAAGCAATTTAAAAATTATATTTTTGAAACTGAAATTATGATGACTTGACCTTAAAGTAAATGTAGCTTCACAATTTCCTTATACATCTCATTTAGTAAATAACA